GGATCTGCGAGCAGGGTACTGGCAAGTAGCCATGAGGGCAGAGGACATTCCGAAGACGGCATTTAGGACGCCCTCAGGACTATACGAGTTTGTCGTGATGCCGTTCGGCCTAGTGAATGCCCCAGCGACGTTCAAAGGATGGTGGAGAACCTCTTCGGGGACCTCTACTGGAACGGGGTGCTCGTATACCTGGACGACATCCTAATCCACGCAGCGACCCTGGAGGAAGTATTTGCGAAGCTGGAAGAGGTGCTGAAGAGACTCCGAGCAAGTGGTCTGAAGCTGCGGTTGTCCAAGTGTTCGTTCCTACCGGAACAGGTCGAGTACCTCGGGCATACGATTACCGAGGGCAGGATAGCCCCCCAGCCAAGGAAGGTGGAAGCGATAGATGCCCTACAGCCACCGCGGGACATAAAAGGGCTACGACAAGCCCTCGGGATGGCTGGGTACTACAGGAACTTCATCCCGAACTATGCCGAAGTGACGCAGCCGCTCACGAAACTCATGCGCAGAACGGAGCCCTACGCATGGGGAAAGGAGCAGCAGCAGGCATTCGACGCAGTGAAGGAAGGATTAAAGGACGCGGCGTTGTGCAATGACTACGCCAGCGGGGAGCTAGTAATCGAGACGGATGCCAGCGACTACGCCGTTGCAGGCATCCTGTCATGCAAGAAAGACGGTATGGAGACGCCGGTGGAGTACATGTCCCGGACACTCTCAGAGGTAGAGGTCCGATGGCCGACGCGGGAGAAAGAGGCGTACGCCATCGTGGTGGCCCTACAAAAGTTCGACGCCTATGTGCGAGGGCGACGTACCACGGTCTACACAGACCACAAGAGCCTGGAATGGATGTTCCAGGCCAAGAAAGGCAAGATAGCCCGATGGGCAACGTTACTCCAAAAGTACGACCTAGATATCGTCCACAAGAACGAAACGCAGATAGCGCACGTGGATGCGCTCAGCCGGTTGGCCAGGGACGCTGTCACAGTAGAAGACCGGATGACCTGTATGGCGGTAATGGCCGTAGCGGAGGAAGAAGGGCTCCCACAAGTGACGGAGTAGCAGCGAGCGTACAAAGGGGTGACAGAGGACGAACGAAGGGCGATGAAGTTGCAGGACTGGCAAGGAATGTTGGTACGCAGAGGCCGGGCGTACGTGCCACCGCAGTGGACACGCCGCGTGGTACAGCACTACCACGACAAGGGTGTCGGCACGCACGCCGGCGTGGTGAGGACGTACCGGAGGAGCCAGGAACTGTTCTGGTGGCCGAGACAATTACAGGACATACGAGAGTATATCGCCGACGTGCCTGGTGTGTCAACGAAGGAGAGGCGGCACGGAACGCCTACAGGGTCTAGCACGAGCATTCCCTGCGAACCAGGTGTTT